TTTTTTTTTTTTATTTCATTTTATTTTATTTTTTTTTTTGTTTGTTATTGTTATTATTATTTTTTTTTTATTTTTTTATTTTTTTTTTCGGTGGGGGGAGGGGGGTGGAAAGGGGAATTTGGTCGGTCATAAAACCGCCCCTTTCCCCAGACCCGAGGGGGGCCCTTCGTACATTGACCGGCCGCCGTCGCCCAAAAGGACCACCCGACCAGCAAGCCGAAGGGCGGACGGCCGATGGGAAATAATAATGGCGGTTGAACCGCCCCGTGCCCGCATGAATTCGGCGAGGGCTTCCTCCACGCAACCCTCGCTGTGCCCATCCAAATGAGCCGTCGGTTCGTCCAACAAAAACAAACCTGAACCGGCGCGGCTGCTCACAAGTGCCCGCGCCAACGCCAAACGTTGCCGTTCCCCGGCGCTGAGCCTTCCGACCGGCGCGTCATACGACAAAGGATGGTTTTTAATAAAACTTTCACATCGGCAAACCCTCGCTGAAGTAATCACCATCTCTCGTACAGAAGCGTTATCTGCAAAAAAAGAAATATTTTCAAAAAAAGTCATATTTTCAAATACACAAGGGTTTTGTTCAAGTATACCAAAAGCTTTTCGAAGAAAAGTTGTGGAAAAACAAGCTATAGGTATCCCATCAAGACGAATAATATTTGCAGAATCTTCTTTATTAGGCAAAGGTAAAGATAGTTCTAGATAACAATAACGAAAAATATTTATTAACTCTTCACAATTCATCCATATCATATTATTAAAATTTTCGTCTATTTTTATCGTCCTTACAGGATCATACATACGCTTTAATAAACGCATTATTGTACTTTTTCCAGATCCTGTTTCTCCAATTAATGCTGTTATTTCACCTGCTCGAAATTTTGCTGTAAAATCATATAAAGTCAACATTAATGAACCATTTTTAATGTTATGATGAAGTTGTGGATAAACAAAACAAACTTGATAGAAATCAATACTCTTACTAAGAGAAAAACCTCCAATAATACGTCCAATATCATCAAATTCAAAATTTCCAATTTTTTTAATTTCTTTTTGCCAAACCCTACGGCGATCTACCAAAGAAGGTGCGTATTGATCCGGAGAAGCATCATGTAAAGTAGTTGGTAAATAACGGGTTAGTTCCTGTACTAAGCGAAAAGGAGGTCCAAAACTATAATCCCCATAATCTTTTAGCGTTACCCGATAACCAATTGCATGTTGCCAAAGCGAAATATAATTCCAATTGTTTATATCAATAACATTAATATTTGTAGTTTTACTACCAAAAAAATTTAAATTAATCAAATACGATATTAAAGGTAACTTTTCACGATAAGTAAGAAGACCATAAAATAAAACCTTTTCCATAAATTCCATTAATTGAATAAATATTTGTGAAAAACCATTACGAAATGGACTTGAAACATAATCAACAAGAGAATCTTTAAGGTTACGAAATCCACTTTGCCAAAGTACTATTGCAGCTTTATAAGCAAATATTGTTTCTAGTCCAAGTTGACGAAGAATAAATCGAGGTTTTTTATCAAATACATCTTCAAAAGAAAGTGATTGTGGAATATAATTCATTGCTTTAGGATAACGTAATAGATCAATTTCTTCTTGATGTAAAATTGAAATGGATTCTGTTTTCTTAACATTAGAAAAGAGAAATTTATCAGAAACTACTTCAGGAAAACCCATCATTTTTTTTAGTACAATCTCTTTTACATAAGCTGCATCTTGCTTGAGACTTTCTATAAAGGAATTCTTATCTTTTTCTTGTAAAAAAGATTTATTTGAATCACTATACATCAAGGATTGATATTTATAGTAATCGAATTGAATAACGTTATTAAAAAAATTTTCAAGTGATCGAATTTCTTTTAATTTTTTTGATACATTATTATCATTAGAAATACACTCTATAGGCCAGTCCAAAGAAAAACATCCCCCACAAACAATAAGAGCAAGAAAAGGTTGAAAGTTTATTTTTATTTTTTCTTCTTTTTCTTTTTCTACTACTACTGCTACTACTACTACTTCTTCTTCTTCTTCCGCTAATATATCCAGCATAAGTCGTAATCCATAACGCACCTCTACTGGTACTGTTTTTTCCTCTAATTGTGCTATTTCATAGTTTAATTCTTTTTTAATAGTTATTCCTAAACAACAACTAATATTTTGTGCAATATCATGATAATCTAGTAATGCCGTAATTAAAGCAAAGAATGCAATATCAATCTCTTTCCTACATGTACTGAAAAGCATTACAAGAATATACCCTATTCGTTTTCGCTCTTTATAATCATAGTGATCAAGAATTTGAGATGCTACATTACTAGCGAATGAGAATGATTGTTCTACTAAATTACCACCTCCACATAAACCTTCTTCAACACAACGTTGTAAAAAAGCTTCATCACTTGTTGCAAGTTTTACAGTTAATTCATGAATTAACTCATCTCGCAAAATAATATAGATTTTATTTTTTATAGAAGCATCTAATGAAGCTATTAAAGCTTTAAAAATAGCTGCAAAAACTCCTCTTAGAGTATGCCAAGAGAAGTTTATTAAAATTTTCTCACGTCCCATTTCATTATTAGTTAATAAAAGAGAAGAAAAAAGCATCCATTCTGTGAAAAAATCATATTGTAGTGCTATTAAATTTATCCCTATTCGTAATGCATGACTTAAAGAACGCAATCGAAGCAATAAATATAATTTATGTGAAGAAGAAGTATCACGATACAAAACCTCACGACCAGCTATATTCTTTATACTATTGGAAATAAACCAAGAAGAATATTTTTCTTTAACTTCATCCATATCACATCCTTCTCCAGTTACCAAAATAATATTATCAATTAATTTTTCATAATAGAATCGTTCACATGATTTTTTACGTATTTCAAGTTGTTTTTTGGCAAGTGTTACACCATATGTAAAGAAAAGACGATCAATTTCTTTCCATAACTGTTGCCACGATTTTGGAAATCTCCATTTAACAAGAGATTTTACTATTCCAAGTGTTCGTCGTGTCTTAATCTCATGAGGAAAATTTAACATGATATGTATTCTACTCTCCATACTTGGTAATACATCCACAAGTTCTTTTATCCACGTTTCCTCTGCTTTACAAGTAATAATGGACTCCACTGGAAAATAACTTAGAGGAAGACATAAAAATCGTCCTACTTCTACACTAGATAGAGGCACAATCCAGAAAGGACGTCGTCCTACAAGCCATAAAGGAATATGAGGTTTAGGAAGATAAACACCAGGCCGATGTTTACAACTTCCATATACCGCAATTCGCCAAGCGGCTGCATAATATCGAGCCTCTGCCATAAGAGAGAGTCGTCGAAATGCAACATACTTTATAATGAACCCTAATCTCTCTACTAATAGCAAATCTTCTGCTAACGAGGCACACAAATAACGACCCATACGCCAATAACTTAACCAGCCGTTTAAATCCACATCCGGTGCAAACGCCATTGAACGAACGGAACCATAAAATGGTGAAATATAATTTCTTTCCTTATCTCCATTTGTCTTAACAGAATTAAAAAGAGGTTTATATGTCTCTCTTGTCAACTCATTAGATGTTTTTTTTCCGGTAATGAGAAAATCCTCCACTTCCCGCAAACAAGATTCTTCCCACTGCTCCACAACCTGACGTATAGAAGCCAGTAATACCACTCTGGAGTGAAGATGTAACTGACGACTCCAACGATGAGTTGTCCAACGCATAACGGTTGCGAGTCCCAAGGAAAATAGCACACTACAAAGAAGGGCATTTGGATAATTTACCCTTTCCCACCAATATCCTACCATTCTTACCCCCACCCCTCTTAAGGCTTTCTCGATATATCTTATTCTTTTTTTTTTATTCCTAGCTTCAATGATACTTCGTAAAAAAGTACAACACCAAAAAAATAAAAATAAAAAACGAAACAGAAGAAGATGATGAAAAAAGTACAACAACGAATACAGCCCCATATGCCTTGCATTTTTCTACCCCCTCCAAAAAA